TGTGCTTCTTTTTCCCCTGGTGAAGTAATAATAGAAATTCCTTTTTATAGAAAAAGAAAGAAGGCAATGTGGCATTTTAGTTTTGACAAATCCAGAATCAGAAAATGTAAAAGGCACGCTTCTCCTGGAATCACTCTTCCACACAAGCAGTTCTTAAAATGGAGATGTCTCTGTAGCATCACACATGGTCAGTGCGTCTGCTCAGAGAAGGACTGGTGAGCACAAGAGGGGACCTGGATGGGGTGCCCCCCAGATCCTACTGGGCTAATTAGCATCTCATTCTCTGCCTCAGGCTCTCCACTGGAAAAGAGATTAACCAGTCTATATCACTTAAGTCGTCTGATGGAAAAATAAAATCTGTATTTCAGTGTTCCATGACACCTAGATAAAGGGGGCTTTGGGAATTTGAATTTTTATCCGGTTATGGTTGGAACATTCCAAATTCATGCATTTTTCAGGTCATACATAGATACAGAGGAAGCGTGAGAGCGCCTGGTGGTGTAATGGTTATCATTGGGCTGCAATCTGAGAGGTCCGCAGTTCAAAACCACCAGCAGCTCTCAAGAGAAAGCCTGGGCTTTGTCTCAGAAACCCCCCATAGGGGGTCACTATGAGTCAGCAGTGACTCAATGGCAGTGAGTTTGGTATGTGTCTTTATCTATAGATATATACACCATATATATACGTGTGTTTGTGTGTGTATATATGTATATGTATATATATATATATTTTCCCCCTCAGCAAAGCCGAGGGTTGGGATGAAGAAACACTTGAAACAAGATTTCATTAGATCTTTCCAATGTTAAAAGTATTTATTTACAGTCTTGGAATATATGTTTTAGCTTACTTAAAGTATGATTTCCTATTACAATTCGCTAAAAAGTGCTAAAAACAAAAGTTCCAAATTCCAAATATTAAAACAGAGTATGAAAAAGTGCTGTTTTGCAAACCACTGGGCAGACAGTGTTACAGACTACGTATCACTTTTCTGGTGGTGGTGTTGGGTAAGCATTGGACTGCTCATCTCAAAGTCCGTGGTTCAAACCCACCAGCCTCTCTGAAAGAGAATGACGAGGCTGGCTGTCCCGCAGATATACAGCCTAGCGAGGGTCGACAGGGGTTGGCATCGACTTGACACTGTGGGTTGGGTTTTAGTTGCTGTTTCTGACACCTTTGAGACGACTGGAAGCGATCTATATTTTACTGATTACTTTATGAGTTAAAATGAAAAATGGGTCTCAATTTATCCTTCTAAATCTGTCCCTCTCAATGGCGGCATCCAAGTCACCCATGAAACCTTTAACAAAAAATCAAATGCCTGTTCCCCTAGCCAAAGACCTTGCTTTGGTGGTCTGCACTTAAAGAGATTCTGAGTGATATCAATACACAGGAAAGCTAGAAAAGCCTTAGCTTGAAACAGGGCCTTAGCTACTCTCAGGGCAGTCTCTAAAGCATTTGCGGCAGAAGAGAGCTTTGCGGCATTGCATTAGGAAAATCTGATGCGCAAGACCTCTATTTAGAGTATTGAAAAGTAAGCATGTGACTTAGAGGACTAAGGTGTGCCTGACCCAAGCCACAGTACTTTCATATTGCCTCGTATGCTTGTGAAAGGAAGACTAACGAAGAGTACATTTGAAAAGAAGAATCGGTACATCTGACGTGGTGCTGGAGAAGAATACTGAATGCCATGGGCTGCCAAAAGAACAAGCAAATTTGTCTAGGACTGCTCCTTAGAGGGAAGGGTGGCGAGGCCTCCTCTTACATCTTTGGACCTTTGTCAGGGGTCCAGTGCTCGGGGAAGAACAGCATGCTTGGTACAGTGGAGGGCCAGCGAAAATGAGGAAGACCTTCAGCGAGACAGATTGACACAGCGACTGCATCTGTGACCAAGCATATGAATAATTGTGAGGATGAGACAGGGTGGGGCCACGTTTTGTTCTACTGAGGATAGGATCACTCAATCAGAACCAACTCAATGGCATTCGACAACAGACCTTTGTGGGGGTCTGCCATGGGCACTGTTACCAAGCTCCATCCCTGGTTTCTACCTTCTAGATACAAGTACCACCACCTTCCTGTCATCCTG